TAGTGCACTGCCCACCAGCCACACCCCGACACAGGGTTCACGCCGGCCAATCACAAAGCTTTGATGCGTTCAAGTGCATTATTCTGGCACAGGAAGATTATGTTATAGGACATTAACGATAAAACAGAATATTGTTGTTCTATTTTTAGACATCTCGCGATCGACTGGGAATCTCCCCGTGATCGACTGGTTGGGCACCCCTGGTCTAAACTAAATGCTGCCGTGATGAAACGCCATATCATGGATTATCAAGGATTCTCTCTGAAACAGTTTGGAGCTCAAAGGCTTTCTCTCTTGCCGGTTATACCACAAGGTGAGTTCCTTTTTACTTCCTGCTTCTTCACACACATGCTCTCCAGTACAGGTTAGCTCTGAGTGTTAGCGATGCTGATGTAAACACCGACCATATTACGTCCAAAACAGTCGGGCATTGTTTCTGATAGCAACGTTTCTGATTGGGCCGTGGGTCCACATTTCAGATATTAAGTCATATCGGACGCAAATCTGGATCAGCTCCGTTGTTCCCCGTTTTTAGAGATTTGGGTACGGAGGAAAAGAGAGAGGGTTTTATTTCCTGACGCTGCGTGAGTTCCCCGACACACCAGGGACACACCAGGGACGCACCGGGGACACAGCGGGGACACACCGGGGACACAGCGGGGACACATGTTGATGTAGAAAAGACATCAACAAGTGCATTTCGCATGATAGGTCCCCTTTAAGTTCTCTATCTTAGTTTAGCACGTTAGCATGAGTGGATATTTTTTTGGCCAAACCAGATCTTACCATTGTGTTGACGAAGGCCAAAGGGATTATTTTATAAAACAGCAAACTTTTATGATACTACACATCTTTTTCAGCCCGATAATCTTCACAAATGAACTTCAATAGACAGACGTAACTACGTTTTTGGAGTTCTCCCTTTCCTTTAGTGTGTGATATAGGTTTTAGTATATGTCAATGGTCTGCAAAGTCTAAAAAGAGGTGTTCCCTCAAGAGTTTCTTTCCCCGACAAGATTTTAGTCGAGCGAAAAAAATCCCCTAATGTCTTTCTACCAATCTCCTTATAATGTGTTGTCTCCTCTTATTAGCAAATAAGTTTAGTTTCTATGTTTAAACTTCATTTTATGCGTGTGTTGAACTCCAGATGGACGTTATTTATTAGCACCATTCGTAAATCAGCTTCTGTTGACTCTGCTTCCCGTGGAGTATTCCTCTCCTTTATTAATATTTGTCACCTCATCCCCTCGACAGCTGGGAGGATATACTCTGGAAGGACCCTCCCCTCTTCCTCCATCTGTCTGCAACGCCAGCTTTGGAACTAATTGGCGAACCCAACCCTCATTTAAATGTCGTCTGACGTCTCTCCTCATCGATCATATTCCTGATGCGATGTCACCGTGTTTTCATCTCATTAGCGGCAGACTTCTGCCTCTCTGGTTGCTGATGGAAACACTGTGTGAACACCAGCTGGTTAAAAAAGCAATCATGCATTTAAAGAGTAGAACAACAACCCAAAACTCTTCCACCAGGAGAAACACGCTGCAGCTTCAGAAAGGATGCAGGTATACAAACCCAAAGGTTCCACATGAAGAAACATCTTGAGGAGACATGCAGCGTTTACTAAAAGCTGCAGAAACCAAACGCTGAAGAAGCTCAAACACAACGGAGACCAGGGGACGCTAAAGAGTGACGCACACAGCTGGGAGACCAGGGGACACTAAAGAGTGACCCACACAGCTGGGAGACCAGGGGACACTAAAGACTGACGCACACAGCTGGGAGACCAGGGGACACTAAAGAGAGACGCACACAGCTGGGAGACCAGGGGACACTAAAGAGTGACCCACACAGCTGGGAGACCAGGGGACACTAAAGAGTGACGCACACAGCTGGGAGACCAGGGGACACTAAAGAATGACCCACACAGCTGGGAGACCAGGGGACACTAAAGAGTGACGCACACAGCTGGAGACCAGGGGACACTAAAGAGAGACGCACACAGCTGGAGACCAGGGGACACTAAAGAGTGACGCACACAGCTGGGAGACCAGGGGACACTAAAGAGTGACGCACACAGCTGGGAGACCAGGGGACACTTAAGAGTGACGCACACAGCTGGGAGACAAGGGGACACTAAAGAGTGACGCACACAGCTGGGAGACCAGGGGACACTAAAGAGTGACGCACACAGCTGGGAGACCAGGGGACACTAAAGAGTGACGCACACAGCTGGGATACCAGGGGACACTAAAGAGTGACGCACACAGCTGGGATACCAGGGGACACTAAAGAGTGACGCACACAGCTGGGAGACCAGGGGACACTAAAGAGTGACGCACACAGCTGGGAGACCAGGGGACACTAAAGAGTGACGCACACAGCTGGGAAACCAGGGGACACTAAAGAGTGACGCACACAGCTGGGAGACCAGGGGACACTAAAGAGTGACGCACACAGCTGGGAGACCAGGGGACACTAAAGAGTGACGCACACACCTGGGAGACCAGGGGACACTAAAGAGTGACGCACACAGCTGGGAGACCAGGGGACACTAAAGAGTGACGCACACAGCTGGGAGAACAGGGGACACTAAAGAGTGATGCACACAGCTGGAGACCAGGGGACACTAAAGAGTGACGCAAACAGCTGGGAGACCAGGGGACACTAAAGAGTGACGCAAACAGCTGGGAGACCAGGGGACACTAAAGAGTGACGCACACAGCTGGGGGAACAGGGGACACTAAAGAGTGACGCACACAGCTGGGAGACCAGGGGACACTAAAGAGTGACGCAAACAGCTGGGAGACCAGGGGACACTAAAGAGTGACGAGACCAGGGGACACTAAAGAGTGACGAGACCAGGGGACACTAAAGAGTGACGAGACCAGGGGACACTAAAGAGTCACGCACACAGCTGGGAGACCAGGGGACACTAAAGAGTGACGCACACAGCTACACTGCGCATTTGCCATGCTATAGGTCTATAAAAATCCGTCTACAAATATATTTAAAACGTTTCCTGTGGTACTTCCTGCTGCAGTAGGTTTCTCCAGCTTCTCGTAATGAAGTTAAATACATTCCCAGTATCCCATTAACCCCAGTCTCTATCAGTTGAGGATGTATCCTCCTTTATATTTCTCCACTTTTAACTAAACAAGTATTGAAACTTTCTCACTGAAATCCCATGTGTTTAAAACTCGCCTCGGGGTCTTCTCTCGATCCCAGAACAACTCCAACGTCCCGACAACGAACAAAGAGCAAAGCAGGGAGTGAGTAAAGCTGCATGAATATTTATAACTTTCATATTATATTCACTATGTGTGCATGAACACAACAGAGGGGCTGCAGGAAATTAAGGGTCTGCCTTAAAGGGGAATACAACTTACTCAAAGAGATGCTTGAAGAGAAGCTGTTTCTAAAACTTTCTAAACTTCTGCAGTGCCATTTTATTCAGCGAAAACAAGTTTCAAAGTTGGTCGCAGTGCAATTAGCGGCTAATTAGAGGAATTTACATCATCACGCATAAACTCAACTGGGCTCATTGGATCCACTGAGTCTAAGCTTTCCAATTAGACCCAATTCATGCAAATCCAACACTGTTTAGGGATGCAGAAAGGAAACGTACAATTAAACCATTCTTTGCAAAATACAAAAATCTGCATTTTAAAGAGGACATATCAGTATGAAGTGTCTCTACTTTAAAGAGTCCTCTCCTGCTGATGTTCAGGTGTATATCAGTATGAAGTGTCTCTACTTTAAAGAGTCCTCTCCTGCTGATGTTCAGGTGTGTATCAGTATGAAGTGTCTCTACTTTAAAGAGTCCTCTCCTGCTGATGTTCAGGTGTGTATCAGTATGAAGTGTCTCTACTTTAAAGAGTCCTCTCCTGCTGATGTTCAGGTGTATATCAGTATGTAGTGTCTCTACTTTAAAGAGTCCTCTCCTGCTGATGTTCAGGTGTATATCAGTAAGTAGTGTCTCTACTTTAAAGAGTCCTCTCCTGCTGATGTTCAGGTGTATATTAGTATGTAGTCTCTCTACTTTAAAGAGTCCTCTCCTGCTGATGTTCAGGTGTATATCAGTATGAAGTGTCTCTACTTTAAAGAGTCCTCTCCTGCTGATGTTCAGGTGTATATCAGTATGTAGTGTCTCTACTTTAAAGAGTCCTCTCCTGCTGATGTTCAGGTGTGTATCAGTATGTAGTGTCTCTACTTTAAAGAGTCCTCTCCTGCTGATGTTCAGGTGTATATTAGTATGTAGTCTCTCTACTTTAAAGAGTCCTCTCCTGCTGATGTTCAGGTGTATATCAGTATGAAGTGTCTCTACTTTAAAGAGTCCTCTCCTGCTGATGTTCAGGTGTATATCAGTATGTAGTGTATCTACTTTAAAGAGTCCTCTCCTGCTGATGTTCAGGTGTATATCAGTATGAAGTGTCTCTACTTTAAAGAGTCCTCTCCTGCTGATGTTCAGGTGTATATCAGTATGTAGTGTCTCTACTTTAAAGAGTTCTCTCCTGCTGATGTTCAGGTGTATATCAGTGTGTAGTGTCTCTACTTTAAAGAGTCCTCTCCTGCTGATGTTCAGGTGTATATCAGTATGTAGTGTCTCTACTTTAAAGAGTCCTCTCCTGCTGATGTTCAGGTGTATATCAGTATGTAGTGTCTCTACTTTAAAGAGTTCTCTCCTGCTGATGTTCAGGTGTATATCAGTATGTAGTTTCTCTATTGTGATACTGCCTGCAGCACCTCTTTTCACCCTCTGTCTGAAACCAGAGCTGCTCTGATTGGTTAGCTGGTCGGCTCTGTTGTGATTGGTCAACAGCTTAGAGATGTCCCGCCCCCTTAGCCTATCACTTACAATGTGTTGGTGCTCCCAGTACCATTTCTAAAAATCTAACTGTAGTGAATAAATGATCTGTTTGATGAAGCCACTTTTAAAGACTAGTGCTTCTCTCAAAGTTACCGAGGTAGAAGTGTGTTTTTATTGCATTTCTCGTCACCTTGTCGATGTGCGGGTGCCAGTACTCGTCGTGTTGGGTCTGGGCGATGGTACTGTTGATTCTGGAGAAGAAAGTCGGCTTAGTGAGGAACATCAGAGCCGGGTTCAAACCAAACGTCTCCGCAATCACCGCCTGGATCCGCCCACGCACGTCTCTGGAAAAACAATGTCAAAAAAAGTTTAATAAAAGGATGATTTCAACTGCACTTTAATAGTTTGGGATTTATAAGATACCGCAATAAACCGTATTGAATTTAGTTTTAATTTACATTATTTAATTTCATATTATATTGACATGTATATAGACTTTTTGCACTACTTTTTATTTTGGGGACACTAAAGAGTGACACACACAGTTGGGAGACCAGGGGACACTAAAGAGTGACGCACACAAGGGGACACTAAAGAGTGACGCAGGGAGTCCAGGGGACACTAAAGAGTGACGCACACAGCTGGGAGACCAGAGGACACTAAAGAGTGATGCACACAGCTGAGAGACCAGGGGACACTAAAGAGTGACGCACACAGCTGGGAGACCAGAGGACACACACAGCTGGGAGACCAGGGGACACTAAAGAGTGACGCACACAGCTGGGAAACCAGGGGACACTAAAGAGTGACGCACACAGCTGGGAAACCAGGGGACACTAAAGAGTGACGCACACAGCTGGGAGACCAGGGGACACTAAAGAGTGACGCACACAGCTGGGAGACCAGGGGACACTAAAGAGTGACGCACACAGCTGGGAGACCAGGGGACACTAAAGAGTGACGCACACAGCTGGGAGGCCAGAGGACACTAAAGAGTGACGCACACAGCTGGGGGACCAGGGGACACTAAAGAGTGACGCACACAGCTGGGAGACCAGGGGACACAAAAGAGTGACGCACACAGCTGGGAGACCAGAGGACACTAAAGAGTGACGCACACAAGGGGACACTAAAGAGTGACGCAGGGAGTCCAGGGGACACTAAAGAGTGACGCACACAGCTGGGAGACCAGAGGACACTAAAGAGTGATGCACACAGCTGAGAGACCAGGGGACACTAAAGAGTGACGCACACAGCTGGGAGACCAGAGGACACACACAGCTGGGAGACCAGGGGACACTAAAGAGTGACGCACACAGCTGGGAGACCAGGGGACACTAAAGAGTGACGCACACAGCTGGGAGACCAGGGGACACTAAAGAGTGACGCACACAGCTGGGAGACCAGGGGACACTAAAGAGTGACGCACACAGCTGGGAGACCAGGGGACACTAAAGAGTGACGCACACAGCTGGGAGGCCAGAGGACACTAAAGAGTGACGCACACAGCTGGGGGAACAGGGGACACTAAAGCGTGACGCACACAGCTGGGGGACCAGGGGACACTAGAGAGTGAGGCACACAGCTGGAGGACCAGGGGACACTAAAGAGAGACGCACACAGCTGGGAGACCAGAGGACACTAAAGAGAGACGCACACAGCTGGGGGAACAGGGGACACTAAAGTGTGACGCACACAGCTGGGGGACCAGGGGACACTAGAGAGTGACGCACACAGCTGGGGAACCAGGGGACACTAAAGAGAGACGCACACAGCTGGGAGTACAGGGGACACTAAAGAGTGACGCACACAGCAGGGAGTCCAGGGGACACTAAAGAGTGACGCACACAGCTGGGGGACCAGGGGACACTAAAGAGTGACGCACACAGCAGGGAGTCCGGGGACACTAAAGAGTGACGCACACAGCAGGGAGTCCAGGGGACACTAAAGAGTGACGCACACAGCAGGGAGTCCAGGGGACACTAAAGAGTGACGCACACAGCTGGGGGACCAGGGGACACTAAAGAGTGACGCACACAGCTGGAAGACCAGGGGACACTAAAGAGTGACGCACACAGCTGGAGACCAGGGGACACTAAAGAGTGACGCACACAGCTGGAAGACCAGGGGACACTAAAGAGTGACGCACACAGCTGGGAAACCAGGGGACACTAAAGAGTGACGCACACAGCTGGGAGACCAGGGGACACTAAAGAGTGACGCACACAGCAGGGAGACCAGGGGACATTAAAGAGTGACGCACACAGCAGGGAGTCCAGGGGACACTAAAGAGTGACGCACACAGCCGGGAGACCAGGGGACACTAAGAGTGACGCACACAGCCGGGAGACCAGGGGACATTAAAGAGTGACGCACACAGCAGGGAGTCCAGGGGACACTAAAGAGTGACGCACACAGCCGGGAGACCAGGGGACACTAAGAGTGACGCACACAGCCGGGAGACCAGGGGACATTAAAGAGTGACGCACACAGCAGGGAGTCCAGGGGACACTAAAGAGTGACGCACACAGCAGGGAGTCCAGGGGACACTAAAGAGTGACGCACACAGCAGGGAGTCCAGGGGACACTAAAGAGTGACGCCTGGCCCCTTAATGCTTCAAATAAATCATAATGTTTGCGGTCACTGTGAACTAAGTGCCATTGTCACAAAGGTTAAGACAGAGTTTGCCGTGACGGATAACAGACATTAAGAACATATTTGTATGTATTTGCAAACACAGGGATTTGAGCCTTTGCAGACCGTTTACATGCACTAAAAACCCCTTCTTTAAGATTCTGTACTCACTTGTACAGCTGGAAATCCTCCTCTGTGAACACCTCCCCGATCTGTTCCCCAAAATACCTGCAGCAGTGAGACATTAGAATGAGCTCCAGCGTTATCACCTGTGACACATTGATGCATCAAAACCAAACTCCAGTACTTGAATTTATAGGAATATGAAAACGAGTAACAGGTGCTGTCTGTTAGCTGTAACACTAAGTATCTGCTGTCCGTTTGCTGTAACACTAAGTATCTGCTGTCTGTTTGCTGTAACACTAAGTATCTGGGACACATCCTCACAGGTGAAATGGCTGATGATGATGATGATGAAGATGAAGATGAAGATGATGATGATGATGATGATGATGACGACATGTATAGACAGCGGCGTGTCTTACAAGCTAACATGTTGACTAGAACATTCTCTTGGTGTTCAGATTTTTATTATTAGTCAATTTATTGAACATGTCAGAAACAAAAACATACAACAATAATATATTTATTAATGCTGTCAAAATTATCGCGTTAACGGCGGTAATTCATTTTTTTAATTAATTAACTTAAAATATTTAACGCATACAGAATGGCCCGCCCCATACATCCCACCAGTGGCAGCGCCAGGGTATGGCTGGGGTAGGCTACACCCATACCAAGAGATGGCTTAGCCCCACCATGAAAAATGATGTTAAAGGAAGTAAAATAAAGTCTGCCAACTCTCGCGGAGTAAATTGCACAGACAGCAGTTAGTCAGATTGATTTCAGCCTCTTGTCTGGAAATACCGAAGACCAGAAACGGTTTTGAAAACTTTTGTCACGTAGTGATCGTCTTCTCAATAGAACATCTTTGATAATGTCTTCTGGCCAATCAGAATCAAGATAACGGCGTGGTGTTGTTGCAGGAAGTCCCGACGGAGAATACTTTTGCTGCATCTCTATACATCGATACAACATTACGTGTTGATAGAAATCAACACGTAATGAATTAAGACCCCACGGTTTGATGATTGATAGGTGTGTGGGCTTCTTTCATTTTGACACACAGAACAATGTTATAATAAACAGATACTGTATGTTAAATGGATATATCCGCCTTCTTTCATTTATCTTTCCATTCCCAACAATATACATCAAGAAATGGCATATTTTGGACATAGTTCGAACGGTGATTAATCTGATTACAAATTGTAATCGTTTGACAGCCCTAATTATATATATATATATATATATATATATATATATATATATATATATATATATATATACACACTCTTTTTTTCTCACTCAAATTAATAATTATAACAAAGTACAACAAAATTCTAATAATAAAAATAAATAAAAACAGCAATAATTCTCAGATAGTCTGTCATGTTCAACAGGGTCAAGAAGAAGCTTGGGGTCCTCCCCCCTCTAGCATATATGTTCCTTATAAATAAAACATTAGGTCATCAGCGACATGTTTGTCTTGTTAATTTGTTTGCTTTTTGTTTTTTTACAAAACTATCAGAAATAAATTACTTTTACAAGAAATAACAACAAATGGGATTTCACAGGTCCTGTTCGTAACCATTCATGATTTGGCTCCTAAATAATACTTTCAGTTTAGACTTGTACAACATTTCAGTGCATCGTTGCAGTTATTCCACAGACTAACAACTTCTGATGAGATGCAGAAGGCATTTGTTCGTACGGGTGGTTTTTTGAAAATGCAGTTTCCTCTCAACATGTGCATGCTTTCTCTCCGTGTGAAAAGTCCCTGGATATGAGGTCATTGTTGATTTGCGGCTTTGAACTTCATTTGAATAGTTTTATAGTCAACCAGGTCTTGTAGTTTTAGTGTTTTTAGTTTGATGAATAATAGATAAGGTTAAGGTGAACCACTTGAGCGCTTATAGAGAGGCGAAGTCCCTCCCTCTCCTCCATGGGACCTTGTTTCAGAAAAAGTATGTATCAAAGTCAATGGAGAGAGAAAGATTATCTTTCGATCCCGTTTGAATTGTGCCACGAATTACACATATGATGTTTGTCAATTTAAAAGATAATTTTGCAAGTCAAAAAAATAATGTTTTGCCTTAAAACTGTGAAGTAACACTTTTTTTTTGAGTGAAA